TTGACTTGTGTAGAATGCCAGCACAGAGTCAATTCACTCATTGTTTATCTCACAAATGCGCCTCTGTCCGTCTATCTCACACACCTGTAGTACTAAAGATCATTTAATTGGGCAATTTTTGTACAGTTACTACTTTTCCCATTGGAATGCCAAACATATTTTGTTTTAGCAAATAAGCCACGTACTAAATACGACTATATAGCCAGTAAGCTAAGAGGTTTTGTTGCAGTGTTTTTTTGTTTGTTTGTTTTTTTTAACCACTAAGAGATATTATAACGCAAAACAGAGTAAAACCCCTTTAACCGTTGTAAAATCACTATAACATTCAGCCTCTGCTTGTAGACAATTTCTTACATCTCACCCGTTTGAGCATAAATGATACGTTTATAAATGTACTGAATTTAAAGGTACTGAGTAATATAACTACATGTACTTACTAGGATTAGGGTTTGGTTTATGGTTAATTATAGTAATATAATAATTATAGTTATTACTATAGTAACTATGTAAAATAAAGTGTTACCCTCTTATGTTATGCATCCATTTAGAAGGTATAATGCATTACAAAAACATGACATACAACCAATTAAAGATGAATCTGCAAATATTATAATGCATTTCATAAATTATTATTTATACAAAGATACTATTGTATTTTCAAAGAGTGTGCAGAGATGCAGGCAAATATGACACACACACAATTTAGCGTGACTGCTCTGTTTACTTCGTCTTCTTAACGTCATTGTACATAACACCGGAACATCCGGAACATAAGTACACCGTGCATCATGGGAAATGTAGTCACATAAAGCATTTCACAATATACAACATCTCCTCCCCTCTTACTCTTTGAGGTCTAACACAAGATTACAAATTAAACTGTAATATCAGTAGTCAGAAATTTTGAAATTCAACTCTCTTAGAACTCTTCTTTTTTTATATATATATATAGAACATTCAACTTTGTTGTTTCTTATATACAACTAATTCCCTGGGAGTGAGGGTAGACTACCTCAAACCCTAGCTGACCCTAAGGGGATTATTCTGCCCCGAGCAATAAGGGTAGCTTCCAACTAAGAATAATCCAACAACCGCTGGGGCGGGTGTCGCTCCCTAACTGGGTATCGGCGCCCTGTTTGGCTCCCACTTTCTGCCGATACAACAGGTGATGCCGGTTCCTTTACTGATGGACAATTTGCGGTCTTGGTAGGCTCAGTGGTTAGTACTTCAGGAGCTGACGTACTGTTACTAATTTGGTCAGTGACATCCGCAACTTCGGAAACATTTGGAACTGCGTTTGCTCCTTGAGCAACTGATCACTGTGTCTCCTCCAAGACAAATCTCCAGCAGTTTTGACCTTATATGAGACTGGACCTGTCTGGGCCTCCACCGTAGCTGGAACCCACTTCGGACCACCGCCATAGTTCCGTGCCAGCACTGGTGAGCCTATCGAGAAGGTTCTGTCCTTGGCTCGCAGATTCCGTCGCTGTACCTGATTCCTCTGTTGTCTTAAGACAGTTTCTTTGAGTGTTGCTGGTTTGAGCAGCTCCAAGCTTGTCCTGAGCTCTCTATTGAACAACAGAGATGCTGGTGACACTTTAGTGGTTGCGTGCGGAGTACTGCGATAGCACAACAAAAAGCTATGCAGCCGTTGATGGAATGTTCCCTGTCCGAGTGAAGCTTTCAAAGCATGTTTCAAGGTTTGGACAAACCTTTCTGCTAAACCATTTGTTGCCGGATGGTAAGGTGATGATGTGATATGCTGCACACCATTTGCTTGTAGGAATGTGCCCATCTCGTGAGATGTAAATTGAGGGCCATTATCTGAGACAAGCTGCACCGGAGGTCCAAATCTACTGAAAATTTCTCCCAGTTTCTCAATTGTCTTTTCAGCTGATGTAGATTTCATGATAGCCACCTCCGGCCACTTACTGTGTGCATCCACGACCACCAGCAGCATTTTGTCTGGCATGACGTACATGTTCTTGCCTTTTCCTCAATTTGGCCATCTACTCCTGGCCACCAGAAGTAACTCCTGGCAATTTCTTTCATTCGGACCATTCCACAGTGTCCCACATGCAGCTGTTTTAGCACTTGCTTGCGCAGAGCAGAGGGAATGATCACTCTCCTACCCCACAGCAAACATCCTGACTGCACTGAAAGTTCATGGCGTCGAGAGACATACGGTTTTAACTCCAGGTCATCGGTCTCACCTTTTCCTGTCATTACGATATCCATGACTTTCGACAGAACAGGGTCATTGCGTGTGCTCTTACGGACTTGTACAGCTGTTACTGGGGCCCTTTCCACCTGGCTGAAGTAGAAAATTTCTGCAACTTGTGCCTCCTTCATTCTGTCAGCGAGAGGCAATCTAGACAGACCATCCGCATTTCCATGCAATTCCGCCTTCCGATACTTGATGTCATAGGTGTGAGCGGATAACAACAAAGCCCATCTTTGCATCCTACTAGCAGCCAGAGACGGAATGCCATGGTGTGGGCCAAAAATTGCAGTGAGTGGGCGATGATCAGTCAACAATGTGAACTTCCTTCCAAAAACATACTGGTAAAACTTACGAACTCCAAACACAATGCTCAACGCTTCTCGCTCAATCTGAGCATAGTTTGCTTCTGCCTTACTCAGACTCCTGG